CCGAGGTGGTCCCTATTTATCTACTTGCATGTGCATGCTTTCGAACCGCTAGGTTGGCGGGAGCTGAGACAAAGCAACGGGAGCTCACTCCGTCGCGTGGATTCGATCTTACGACTGCTTGGTCTTCTGACCCTGCAGCACAGGCTTCTGCGGTTTAGCCCGCAGCGCCACCACGTCCCTGCAGAGTTGGAAAGGGCCCTATGAATCATTGAGTCCAGCCTGTATGACAGTGAGGGCAAACTATTGCACACGTGCCACAGATGGCATGTGGAGCCATAAGTCACCAGATCACTGCTACTCCCCCCCTCCGCACAGCCAAACCTGAGAAGGCGTCTGCAGCTGCAGTGCTGGCTCTTCAGCAGGCGGATCCGGAGCAGCTGGTGCTGGCAGCAGATCTGGGTTGGGGGGTCTCGAGGCACCTCCATGCCAGGATTCCCCCTTCCGCCACCATTTCCAGTTTTGGCGCCACACACCGCCTGCTGTTTTGTTGTTTCTTCCCCAGTTTGGGCACGCAGGTCCAAAAAGGTTCGCCACTACTGCCCTATGAGGAGGCACAGTGGGGAATCAAACTCCCAAGCCTAGCAGTTCTGGATACATTTTGTTTGAGTGAATACATTTCACTTTTGCACTGTATTGCATTGTTATGTGACCACATGCCTAGCAGTCAACATAAAAGACAAGCTGCTTGATGCAGAGGCTGAGCCTGCCTGGAGCAGGCTTGTTCTGTGCCTAAAAACCAGCCTTGCATTGCTATCCCTGCTTGGAGGACAGCCAAAGGCAAAGGAAGCCTCTTGCTTGCTCTAGCCTCCTTTCCTTGGTTTCCAGATTGGGCGGGCATTTGAGGTCCCTGGGGGCCGTTGCAGGAATGGGCCTTCATTTCTAACAGCTGTTTCTAATGAGCTCTTGCAAAGGGCTGGCTCACAGCAAGGCAGATTGGGAAGGGAATAAATGGATAGCTGCCGCTTCTTGTTTCCCATGTGGGACTTCTTTACAGCTCATAAATATATTAGTTTCTTGTTTATTCAGTTTGCAAGACATGTCATGGCCCATTCTCCCTCTGTTATGCCCCCTTATGTTCCGACTTACAGCAACCTGAGTATTGTTTCCAAGGTATGTGCAATACTTAAGGGATGGTTTTATCAGTACAACCCCCTCCCCTATGAGTTTCCATGGCCAAGTTGAGATTGGAACTCAAACCTCCTGTTTTACAGGCTACAGCAAAGCCTTGGCTGTGTGGGTTATGATGTAAGTTATATATAATTCTGAAAGCAATGGGTGAGCCTCAGCGCTTGGTTGTCCTGATGCTTATTTAGGACAGAATATAGAGAGACAGAATGGTTTCCTATAGGTAAAGGTGTCAGGCGAGGGTGCATTTTATCCCCTTATCTGTTCAGTCTGTATGTAGAACATATACAGAAAGTTGGACTAGCTCGATTCAGATGACGGAGGAGTGAAAATTAGTGGAAGAAATAATTTAAGATATGCAGATGACACCATCTTAATGGCAGAAAGCAGTAATGACTTGACATTACTTCTGATGAAAGTGAAAGAAGAAAATGTCAAAACAGGACTGAAGTTGAATGTGAAGAAGACAAAAATCATGACTATCGAAGAACTGCAAAACTTTAACGTTGACAATGAAGACACTGAAATTGTTAAAGATTTTGTATGCATTGCTTCAATCATCAGTTGAAATGAAGACTAGCCAAGAAATCAAAAGACTGAGATTTGGAAGAGCAGCGACAAAAGAATTAGAAATGATAATCAAATGCAAGGATGTGTCACCGAAGACCAAAGCCAAGATCATTGTTGTGGGTTTTTCGGGCTCGAAAAACCCACAACAACCATCAGATCCCAGCCGTGAAAGCCTTCAAGAATACAAAGCCAAGATCATTTACACAGTTGTATTCCCAATAACTACATACAGAGGTGAAATCTGAATAATGAAGAAAGTTGACAGAGGAAAAAATTGTTCTATTTAAAATATGGTGATGGAAGAGATCTTTGTGGATATCCTGGACTGCCAGAAAGATGGACAAATGGGTCCTAAATCCAATGAATCCTGAATTATCTCTGGAGGCAAAAATGCCAAAACTGAGGCTGTCCTACTTTGGTCACATAATGAGAAAGCCTCTGGGAAAGACAGGGATGGTGGGATAGATGGAAGGCAGCAGGAAGAGAGGAAGACCAAATACAAGATGGGTTGACTTCCTAAAGCAGTGGCTGTGAACCTTTTTGGGCCCAAGTGCTCAAACCAGGGGGGGGGGCACACACACACACACACCCAGCAGGTGGTGAGCTGTGGCGGCAGCAGCGGAACTGGAAGTGGCAGCAGAAGGGGATATCGCGGCTCCAGATCCACCGCCAGTGCCAGCTGCTCTGAATCCTGGCCCGCTAGGGCTATTGGGGACAGGATATTTGGGGGATCACTCATTTGTAAGGGCTAACATAAGTTGGAGGTGATTTGATGGCATCTATGTGAGGGTTCGTTTGTAGGGGCTTCAGTCACACCAAATAAAGTACGAGACGGTTTAAATTCAACAATGTTGTCTTCTTTTATGAAACTAGTAACATCAACAGGGACATCTTTGCATGTGGGTTCTGAGTTCTCTTGCTGTCTTAAACGCGACTGCAAGGGTGTCCAAACATTGTTAACAAAGGGGTTTAACTCGTCAAGGTCCCATGGTCCCGACAACACCTTCTCTGGTACCGATGGGTCTCCTTCATCTCCCTCTGTCGCCAATAATGGTAGGGTTTCCTCATCTCCAGTCCACCCCCAGAGTGGGGACCCCTCTCTCGGACTGGCCAGCCACGGTCCGGGAAGACTCCCATCTTCTGGAGCTCGGTAAGATGCCATGTCTTCTTGGCCTCAGTCTCCTGAGCCACTACCTCACGTTCCTCTCTCAGACGGCGCCTCCACTCCTTCGCCTCAGTCTCTCCCCAGTAGGAGGGACGGTGTTGTTGTCCCTGGCGCCTACGTCGTTCTGCCTCCTCGTGGGGAACCTTGACTTGTTCCCATTTCCCTGTCCAGGGATCTTGCACCCAAACCTTTTCCCAACCACCCGGGATGTCTTCCCGTCTCTCTCTTATATCTCCTACACCTGCCTCTACTGACCTTTCCCCTCTTCCTGCCAAATCCTCACCAGTTTGTACCGCCACACTTAACCCTTTTATCCCCAATACCAAGTCTTGGGTATCCACCCCTTGATGTTTCTGTCCCTCTCTATCTCTCAGTTCCTCCAACTCTTTAGTGTCCACCTTCTTGCTTTCTTTCCTAGGTGGAGAAGGCGGGGGGGGGGAGGTCTGAGTCTCCTTAGAGCAGGGGTCTCAAACACGCAGCCTGGGGGCCATTTGTGGCCCACCAGATGATAGTATGTGGCCCCAGCTTTGCCTGCCCCCCTGAAGTGCCCACGCGTCCTCTGCTGTCAAGAATTAAAAAAAGCCTTGCCTCGCTTGCCGGCTTTCCTCGGGCTCTTGCTCCGCTTGGCGGAAAATCTGATGCGGCCCAGCCTCATCCAGACTCTGCCTCCAGCGGCCCCCAGGTAAATTGAGTTTGAGACCCCTGCCTTAGAGTGAGATGGGAGCGACGGCACTCCTACAAAAGCTTCCTGGCCCTGGCCTGGGGCTTCACAATGTAATAACAACATCTGAGTCCCAGTCTGACACTGCATCCACTGTACTACACTGGTTCACTTTCTTTCTATGTTTATGTTATTGGGTTCTACTGTCTGTGTTGTATTGTCATCAGATGGACTGTAGTTACCAAATAGTGTAAGGTCAATTGCACAGTCAAATATGTAAGGTGCTCCTCTTAGTTTTACTCTACACTTCACAATATCATGGATGGAGAAATCATGACCTGTGTGTTGCAGTTACCTACTGAGCTTGTATGCTACCTGGGATTTTTTAAGGATGCGGCACTGTGGTTTAGCTTGTCCCTTAATGTTGTGTAGAGAACTACAAATATCATTGCAGTTGGTTCAACAGCAAGTAAAACAAAACAACAAACTGAGCACAGTGCTTTGAAAACCCAGAATTTAGCCCAGAGTATATGCTCCTTTAATATTTTTACTCTACCTCTCCTTGTAGAAGGTCTGGGCAAGATATGTAGTCTTGTGAAAGTCCCTTCTGCTTATAGGTTGTGCTTCCCTTCACTCTGAGCTTCCTGACTGAGTATGGATTTGAATCTGGATCTGGGCTTTTGAAGTCGAACCTTGTCCTAGAGTAAAGTTCTTACTTTCGTCCTAAAATGCCGCTGGGGAAGGTGCCCAGTGGAGGTACTGGGAAGAGAGTTGTGTCTTGGCCAGTAAACTTAGAGCAGAATTATATGGGATGATGTTTTAACTTCCGAGAGTCGTGGCGGTGGTGGGGCTTTAAAGGGTCAACAGTAGTTCTTCTGTTGAGATGAGCAGGCAGGAAACCTAGCACGGGCTGCAGCACCGTTGGCTTGTTGATCTGAGCAGCCTTCCCCAAAGGAGCGCCTTTTGGCTGCCTTGGCGGCCGGCTTCGTTTGCCAGAAGGCCGATCTTCTTTCTTGCCGGGCCGGTTGCAGGGCCAACGGGCCCGCGCCCTGCCCCGACTGACGGAGCGGCGCCCTGCTTGCGCGGCCTGGTGCGCTCAAGGGCACCTTGGCGCGGACGGGCCGTCGAGGGAAGCAGCCTTTGCCAGGCCAAGGGTTGA